GTCGTCTTCTTTTTCTTGTTTCTTTTTTTGTCGTTTCTGTTCTTCTGCTTTTTCTTTGTCCGTACTTTCAAACTGCAAATCTTCGAACGGATTAGCAAGCTCTTCAACATACTGTGCATCCACACTTCTTCCGAAAATCAAGTCGCAACGCCAAATTTCGCAAAGTGCCTCTCCGGCATGTCGGAAATTTTGAAGAGCCAATTCTGGATTGATCACTTTGCCTTGTGTGTTTAGGTGTATTCCAAAGTGATCGATCGGTAGTGTGATGCCTGCCAATTTTCTAGATAGCGTCACCATTCCCCTCTCAACAGGATTATATTTGGATTGCCCCGAAGCGTGTGTTCGTATTGTCAAGTAATCTAAATCAAACTTTCGAAAAAGTTAACAATACATTTTAATGTTTTTCAGATGCCTTGGATTCTCATCCGGTCCTCCATCTACTAGTAACACCCAGATAGGTCGAATTTCTCCGTCGGTCTTTAACGTGTCATTGTATTGAGGATCCAAAGTAAGCCTTTCGAGGTCTTGCATGTGTGTGATTGAAGACGTTCCAAGAGACCACTGTCGACGTGCAAAAATGGCAAGCTGTCCGGTTCGTAATTCATCATTTAATTCATTTGGTTTAATCATAAGATAAACCGATGGGACTAACTTTTGCCCACTTCCCACAGGAAAATCATGGTCAGCCACGCGAACAGGTTCGTGAACTGACTGCAATGTGTGAAATGTCCGTCCTACAGCAGGTACCCCAAGACCTATCTTCGCCTTGTCATCTTGAGAAATGACAACAGACTTATCAGCAAAAGCAGTGGCAAATTGTCTTGCGTATTTAACAAACGCAAGACAGTAGTGACCATCAGGATGGTCACGTGTTTCAGTGCATGAAATCGCGGCCACCGCGACCCACGCTGGATGGTGGTGTGCCTTTGCGGTAATGGAATTGGATTGACGAGGCAGCAGGTAATTATTCAATGTGGTTCACGCCATGTAGACATTATAATTCTCTTCAAGGTTCTTGCGTAAGTTTTTGATGATCCGCACTTTAACCACTTCTTTTCATCGTTTTTCATCAGCTACTCCAAACTCGATCGAATCATGGATATGATCGTGCAAATTTGGATGTTTGTAAAGAAGTGAAGGACGACCGGGTTTATCATATAGTATCATCTCCTGGTTTTCGATAAGTAGTTTTCTTTTTTTTTCTTTGCATTTTTGAGCATAATTTGCATTTCTTTTTAATTTAACAATCCTCTCCCTGTTAGATTTGATTTCATCTCGAAGATTCACTATTCTTGCATACATATCATGACGAATTTGAGAATCTGTTGCGATGCTATAGATTTGCTCAAATTCGATAAGTTTTTTTTCTGCTATTGATATTTCATCTGCTGCCTTTCTTTGAGCAGATCCATTAACAGGAATTTCTATTACAGTATTTACTGGACGAATAGTTGGAAGACTAGAAGGAGGAGTTGAATCTTCTCTAGGTATGAGACACCTTAGTCTCATTGTTGGTATGTCATATAGGTTATATGGCGTGGCCAGGTAATCCCTAATTATCTCATCAATTTCCGATTTACTCTTGCTTTTAATTTTATTTCATTCTTTTGTAGTTTCGCGACAAACATTATCTCGGTTAGGGGTACCATTTCCAGTTTTAACCATAATACTATACACATAAGCATTGGTGAATTCTTGATACTTATTTGATGGTAAATTATAGATCGGTTTCTTATTAAACTTAGGGCTAAATAAGAAGGTTTGACGACTCATTTTAACGCTAGAAGTAGAA